AGCTCAAGGTTGACTCAGCCTTCCATCCTTTCCAAGGTGGGTAAAATGAGCAGTAGCACTAAGTCTATTGCTATTACCTGGGTAAACTACTGATATATGCACAGTTTAGTTTCTAATCCTGCATTTTTTTTCTTTTCTTTTGTTTTTTTTGTGGGGATTTTTTGCAGTTAGCGGAGATGGAAAAACTGTTTTACTCAAAGAGAAGAAATTATTTAGTTTTGTTTCTTACGTGGAAACCGCTTGCTGAACATTTTGCTCAAAACTGAAAAAAAAATGAAACTTTGATTTTAGGTTTGGATGAATAGAACAATTTGGTAATTACAGAAATAGCTTGAAATGTTATGAAACGTAAAACAAAAGGTTATATTATTTTTGTATTTTATTGTACTGAAAAAAAGTCAGTTTTTCATTCGCTCTCTGTGTCTCTGCACTTTTCTCTTTCCCTCTTTTCGTTCTCTTAATTTTTTTTTTGTCATTTTTATCTTTTGGTAAAACTTAATTTAAAATGATGACAAAAATTAACGCTGCACTGTTTCTACAGAAGTAAGGTAAAAGTTCCCCCTATCCAGTTGTGTCAGATTCTAGGAAGTGGTCAGTGGCGGGATTCAATTTTTTTTACTTCCAGTTCTGTGGGCGTGGCTTGCTGGGTGTGGCATGGCTTGGTGGGCGTGGCTTGGTGGGCATGAAATTCTCCTGTGCAGGGCAATCAAAGGTTACCCAGCCAACCAGCTGGGACTCAATGGGAGGTGGAGAAGAGATGGGGGCGGGGGCGGTCAGAGGTGGTATTAGCCAGTTCTTTGAACTACTCCAAGTTTCCACTACCGGTTCTCCAGAACTGGTCAGAACCTGCTGAATGCCACCTCTGGAGGTGGTGCTCATCTCCATTTCCTAGTCGAGGGAGTCAGCATTGTCCAAAGACAATTTCCAAGGTCATGTGACCAGCATGATTACATGCTCAGAATGATGCTACCTTCTCACGAAAGTGGTACCTATTTATCTACTCGTATTCACATGCTTTCAAACTGCTAGATAGGGAGGAGCTGAAGCGAGAGTGGGAGCTCACCCTGTCGTGTGGCATTCGGGCCTCAAACCGGGGTTCGAGCTCCTTGTCTTTAACTGCCGAGCCATCATGCTCCCCTTTCTAGAAGGAGGGGCATGAGAATCTGTGGCATTTTAAACCCTGGAATCCTAGAGTTGGAAGAGGACACTGAAATTATCAATCACCTTCTACTACTTATGGATAGTAGAAGATCCTTCTACTATCTTCTACTATCATTTTCATCTTCTACTCTCCATGGATTCTTCTAGGACCCAGGGAAGCCTACAAAAAACCAACACTGGATGGAGCCAACAGAGGGGCTGGCACCTGGGTCAGGTGAAAGCTGGGACGTATGGAAATTGTTGAATAGACCGCACACGGGTACAACAAGTTGACAAGACACTCTGAGCAAATGGGGCGATTTGGTAGCTACCATTCTTTGTGATTGTGGCGACATGCAGACAATACCTGCCCTTTGTGTGCCAATCAGTGTTCACTTGACCTCATGGCAGCGTGACAGAACATAATTAATGGAGGTTTTTAAGAAGAGACTAGACAGCCACTTGTCTAGAATGGTATAGAGTCTCCTGCTTGAGCAGGGAGCGGGGTGGACTAGAAGACCTCCAAGGTCCCTTCCAGCTGCTATTCTATTCTATTCTATTCTATTCTATTCTATTCTATTCTATTCTACTCTACTCTACTCTACTCTACTCTACTCTACTCTTACTAGTTTCTGAGCAAGATCTGTTTAAATTGTGCCTATTTTAATCTTGTATTTTATAGTTTAATGTTTATGTCATACAGCATGCCTTATTTTAATTGTGATGCTTCCAATACAACTAAACAAACCTACTCATTAGAATTTAAACCTACTCTGATAAATGCGTGCCCAACCTCTGCATGAACGTATCACAAAGTCCATCATCATTTTGGAACACGGGTGCAATTCTCTAGGGCTGAGCATCCATTGAAAATTATTCAAAAGAACCTCTCCGTAGCACAGGATTTCAACCATCGGTTCATTCTGTGCTAGCCTTAAAAGAAAAGAAAAGAAACGCTTTTAAGAGCCATATTAGCTCGAACAAATGGCCTTCTTAAACAGGCCGCTTTCTTTTATCAAAAGCTGAAAAGAAAAGTTAGACTATTTTAGCAAGCAGCAGAAAGAGTCTCTTTTATGTTCAGTTGGTACAAAGGACAAAACATCTTTAATTCTGAAGCATTACGAAACTGTTCATACTGTTAGGAAATTCTTCCTGACGTTCAGTCTGAATTAATGAATTCCAGGCCGCCGGGGGCCATTTGCGAATGGGCTAAAATTCCAGGAGGAAACGGACTACAAATGAGGGCTACAAATGAACAAAATTTATAACCTGTAATTTGAGACATTAAAGAAAATACTCAGTGTGGGGTCCTTGGTACTGTCTGAGCTTGATGGTTTCCTTGCAGGTGTTTAATTATCAAAGTAGGTAACGCCATCAGTTTGCACCCGACTCCCTTCTAGGGTCGACGATGTCTGTGGAGATTCTCAGTCCTCCAGATTAAGGTTGTCCCAAAGGTGCTTTTTTTCCAAGAGGCCAACAGATTTTCTGGTTTTTCTTGGAAGATGTTTCGCTTCTCCTCCAAGAAGCTTCTTCGGAGAAAGAAGCTGAAGAAGCTTCTTAGATGAGAAGTGAAATGTCTTCAAAAAACAAACAAACCAGAAAGTTCAGTGGCCTCCTGAAAAAAAGAACACCTTTGGGATAGAATTGATAATGTTGCCTAGTTTGGTACTAAAATTTCTGCAAGAAAACCACCAAGCTCTGAAAGCACCAAGGATTCTACATCTCAAGTCTGAGCTACAAATATTCGGTTCTAAAATAATCCTGACTCTTTTTTTAACTATAGGATTCTATTTCAGGTATTTAAAGACTGCCTGCATAACTCCCTCTCAAAGCCTCTTCTTTGCAAAAGTCAACATCCTAAATTCTTCCCAACTCTCAACTCGTTCTTGCTCTTCTCTAAACAGTATCTAAAGAGCCCTGGGGTTGAGAACTGGAACCAGGACTTAAGCTGAAGTTTGACCCAGTGCAGTTTAGAAGGGAATAATTATTTATTGGGGGGGGAATAAGATGGCTGCTGCTTGATATTAAAAAGGGCAGAAAACGTTACTACAATCCAGGAAATCCTTGAATAGTTTAAAGACTGTTCCAAGTTATAATGACACTGAAAACAAGTACTGTTTTTCACACTTGTGACCATTACAGCATCTTCATGGTCACATGATCAAAATTCAAGGCACTTGGCAACCGACTCATATTTATGACGGTTGCAGAGTACGTGATCCCCTTTTGCAACCTTCTGACAAGCAAAGTCAATGGGGAAGCCAGATTCACTTAACAACCATAGGTAAAAGTAAAGGTTCCCCTCACACACATCTTTTCTGGCTCTTAGAGAGCGGTGCTCATCTCCATTTCAAAGCCGAAGAGCCAGCGCTGTCCGAAGACGTCTCCGTGGTCATGTGGCCGGCAGGACTAAACACCTTTGAAGACGCACGGAACGCTGTTGCCTTCCCACCAAAGGGGTCCCTATTGTTCTACTTGCATTTTTTACGTGCTTTCGAACTGCTAGGTTGGCAGAAGCTGGGACAAGGAACTGGAGCTCACTCCGTGACGTGGCACTGGGGATTCAAACCACCAAACTGCCGACATTTCTGATTGACAAGCTCAGCGTCTTAGCCACTGAGCCACCGCGTCCCTTAACAACCATATTACTAACTTAACAACTGCAGTGATTCACTTAGCAACTGTGGCATAAAATGGGGCAAAATTCACTTAACAATTGTCTCGCTTAGCGACAGAAATGTCCGACTCAATTGTGGTCATAAGGAATATCTGTATAACTTTTCTTCCTTTTTTTTAAAAAAAAACACTACAGCTGCCTCTCATCTTAGACTCAGAACCATCTCTCCATATTCCACAATCTTTTCCTCCAAATTATTATCTAAGGAAGTTATACTCTACACGAATAAAGTGCAACTCCCAGGCCCAAATAATCAACATTTAGAATTATTTTCATGCTCTCCCACTGCATAAATGAAACAGCAAAATATGGGTCCATTAGGAAGGATGGTAGGTTTGGTTTATGACAGGAGGGTATGCTGTGGTAGTAAAAGAGAGAGGAAGGGAGGAAGGCAGAGAGAGAGAGAGAACACACACACACGCAATACAAGGAACATTGACTGCATTGGTTCCTTGCGTAACAATGAGACTGGAGAGCTACCTATCTGAAATAGTATAGGTTCTCCTGCTTGAGAAGGGGGCTGGTCTAGAAGACCTCCAAGGTCCCTTCCAGCTTTATTCTATTCTAAGCTCCTTGTACAAGCAGGAGAGCCTATAACGTTTTAGACAAGTGGCTGTCCAGTCTTACTTAACCACTTAACGACCACCACTGAAAAATTTGAAAAAATAGTTTACAGTCATGTGACAATCCACTTTAGGACCGCAATGGGCAGGCTCCATTATGGTAATAAGTTGAGGATGACCTGCATTTGTTTCTTAGTTCTTGGCAAAAGGAAAAAAGAGAGTAATTCTAAGACTGTAGAGCCATCAAGACTAATATTCTTGATGGCTGAAGAGTCTTAGAATTACTCTCTTCTCTTCTGGAGTTTTGATGGGAGAGAGAAGGACATAGATAATGATTTACTGTAGATTTTTTTTTCCCAAAGAAAGGTACTTATAAAATATTTGGAGCCTTCTCCTTCTTTGTGAAAATCACATAATAATAATAATAATAATAATAACAACAACAACAACAACAACAACAACAATAATATTTTTTTTCAATGCAGGGGTCTCCAGTTAAAAAAATACATTTATCTTTTCAGCAATACAATATCAAAAAAAAGGAAGGACGGAAGAGAAGGAAGGAAGGAAGAAAGGAAGGAAGAAAGAAAGAGAAGGAAGGAAAGAAGGGAGCAACTCACCATTTTTGTCTGCTCGTCTGAAGATCTAGAAGTAAAAAAGAGATATATTTATTATTTCATTATAACTTGGTCACTACAGTTCAAACCAATACTTATTTTTGTATGGATTAAGCCCACTAGTTGAATTCTTATATCATGATAAGCCACAAATCCTAATTTACATGGTATAATGGCTGGAGAGCAAAACAGCATATGAAGCCCTAATTAAACAAGGAAAAAAATCTGGCTTTGCAGGAAGATGAGGTCTTGTTCACACTTTGCTTTTAAGCCACAATTGTATTAATCATAGCTTGTTGAACAAGCCAATTCGGTTGGGTACCATCGCCTGCACCAAACTATAAAACACAATGGAGAAACTACAGTGGCTGGGAATATTCTTTGGCATATTTATTTGTTTTGATTTTTCTGACCATACATTCCACCCCCCGCAAACTTGGTGATTCAGAGCATCTAACAGCAATTAAAAACAGAAGCAATGAAGTGAAATATGGTAGCCTTAATGTACAAGCAATCACACAAACCATTGTAGAGTCAGGTTCAGTCATGTGATGATCTACTACAGTATTTTACAACCTTAGGAACATACTTGCCAGACTCAGTTATGGTCAAAACTCAAGGACCACCTGGCAACCAGGATAAAAACCCAACAAACAGGAATTAGATAACAGCAGAAATTGTGGGACAGGAATTACAGATTAACAATATCAATGGCATATAAAGAGAATTTGTATAAGATGTTTTACAGATGGCATTTTGCACTGGCGCGGTTGGCAAACATGTTTAAAGACAAATTAGCTAAATGTTGGAAATGTCACCAGATCCTACGATCATATGTGGTAGACGTGCGGAGAAGCAAAGAAATACTGAATGAAAATAAAGACACGGTTGGAAGAGATGATAAAACGATGTATTGAGTTAAAACCAGAAATATTTCTGTTGGGGATTTTCCCTGAAATGTATAACAAAGAGAAAATGTATTTTTAATTATTCACGTTCTAACTGCAGCTTGAATGGTATTTGCACCACATTGGAAAGGTGAGGAGATCCCCACAGATGAGGAGATAATTAGGAAAATATTAGACTGCGCCGAGATGAACAGATTAACAATAGCAATCAAGGAGAAAGAGCAAACTGAAAACTATATGATATGGGAAACATTTAATCAACGGTTAGAGAATAAAAAAGGAATTTGGTAATGAAGAAGAATAAAGAAGAATAGAAAATAAGATAAGATAGAGATAGCCATAAGATGAGAATTGTTAATATATCTAGGACAAAAATAATGAGATGTAATGTTAATATGGTACTCTCACTAGAAGAGTTGTATAATGTTTTTAGCTGTTTGATGTATCTTAATTCTAAGTTTAGAGAAATAATAATGTGAATGTGAAAAAGTCGTAAAGGGTTGTAAATGGTTGTAAAGTTGTAAACAGTGAAAAACTCCTTGTGCCCGGATGACACACTGCTTGAGAAAAAAATGGAATGTATGTATTTTTGAAGCTGAAAAATAAAAATCTTATTACTTTTTTAAAAAAACAGGAATTAAATAACCATATTAGAGGCCCTAAATTACCCCAGATGTCCATGCTCAGGATCGCAGCCATGTCTTCAGGGTTTTGCAAAACACAAGCAGCGTCAGAGGCTAACCTGATCCCCATGGAAATCGTATCCAAAGGACAGGGGCCACAAAAGAAAAGGACCCATTTCCTGACTGTCATGGTTTGCCGGCAGCAGGCGCAGACGGCTGAAGTTTTAGAGAGCGAGGACTCAGATGAGGGGCCTGCGTGTGAAGCAGGGATGGGGCCAGGACCATCAGGGAGTGCAATGTCGCCTTTGGAGATTATGGAGGCTGGCAGCAGTGATGAAGAGGCCCCTGAGGAGCCTGTGCCCAGCATGCATGTGTGTAGGGCCGCTCGAAGGAAAGAGCAGCTGCAGCAGCATGGGAGACTCGGGAGCAAGGCTGCAAGGTAATGGCCCCTCCCTCACGAGATAAAAGCTAGCTGAGAAACCAGAGTTCTTTGCAGGAAGCAAAGAAGTTTTTGCACTCAAGCCTTGTGGACATTCGGACTCTCTTGGTTGGTGTTTGGAGACTCTTTCTGTTTGAAATATTTCTTGGCAATTTTATTTAATGTTCTTGGCAGCCTTGGACCACCTTGGCAAGGCTTGTTCTTATCAGAGACAATTAATTTGAAACAGCCTTTTAACCGGGAAGGAACAGAATTCGTAAAGAATCATTAAAAGGTTTTGCTGTTACCTCTGTTTCATGTTTGTTTCCTTGGAACAAGGTTTGGGTCAGAACACTCTCCTTGATTCACGGCATTGATAATACGCTTATTCTGCCACATCTAATGAGATGACTAGCAATGGGAAAGAATTAATAAAGGAGAATATTTATAGCTCGGGGTTGACATGAGGGGGTCCTTGCTACTCTCTGAGCTTAGCTGTTTTCTTGCAGATGTTTTGTTGTCCAAACTAGGTAACATCATCATTGCTAGAAGGGAATGGAGCTTGGGGAAGGGAGGAGGAAGAGGAGGAGGAGGGGAAGGGGAAGAGGAAGGAGAAGGAGAAGGAGAAGGAAGAAAACTGTGAGGTCCTTTGTGCTCTCTAAGTTTGGTTGTTTTCTTGCAGACGTTTCATGATCCAGCTCGGTAGCATGATCAGTGCTAGAAGAGGGTGGGGTTTGTGAGAAGGAAGAGGAGGAGGTGGAGGAGGAGAACTGTGGGGTCCTTGGCGCTCTCTAAGTTTGGCTGTTTTCTTGCAAATGCTTCATTGCAGTGCACCGATCATGTTACCTAGACTGGGTAATGAAATGTCTACAAGAAAACACCTAACTTCAGAGAGCACCAAGAAGCATAGAATCCTAGCGCTGGAAGGGACCTTGGAGGTCTTCTAGTCCAACCCCCTTGCCTAAGGCCTAAGGATGATCTTCCTACCATCCTGGACGTCCAAACTTCCTACCATCCTGGACGTCCAAACATCCTGGATGTCCAAACACCCATCCTGAGTGTCCAAACTTTTCTTGAAAACCTCCAAAGGGCTTTTCTTTGGTGCAAAGTCTCCTGGGCCGCCCCCCCCCCCCCCCCCCAGGGAGAAACACCACTGAGTGCCAAGCGAGGGTCACCTTGTTTTTAACTTGAACTGTTGTTCTTCACCATCTTCTCTTCCTAAGACGTTTAGCAGCTGTTCCCGTAACAGACGCCCGATGAACAGCCAGGGAAAAAGGGGGAAATCTGACCAAGATCACTGAATTGCACCGGTGAGGATATGAAGCTTACAAGATATTTCCTAGTTTGTCGGGGGGGGGCGGGATAGATTGGTGGAGTAACGAACGAAACAAAGGAGCGTTTATTAAGGACCAAGCTTGGGGGAGTTACAAACGCTGAGCCCAAAGTCAAGGGTGAGGTTGCCAACAGAACGCACAATAAAATTAGATTTGATACTCCGATATTAGAAAAGAGGATGTGCCAGCAAAGCTGATCCCTGTGAACCCACAATGCTTGTATAATTAATGTAGGATAGTAAAAGAGACGCCATCTTTTTCTCTGCATGGGACGGAGATAAATTGAAGCCAAACCAAGCAGAAGCAGAACCAAGGGAAGGAGAGGGGGGTGACACACAAACACACATACAAATAATAGGAGACATCTCGTGGAAATAATATCTGGAGACAAATACAGTAAATAACAACAACAACAAAAATCAGTTCAAAAAAAAAAACGCTTAAGAGATGGAGGCAATCCACTGCGGAAGACAAACCTCCCTTGAAACCTCCAGATGGGTTGGAAGTACAATTCGTGAAAATCATGGCTAACTTAAATTATTATTATGATTATTTTTTTAAAAAAACCAGACTCATTAGAGTGCACCAGCTGAAATTTCCCCAACTATGGTTCTGGGCCACCCAGAATTATTGGAGTTGGGTACCATATCAAATGCATAATGAATATATAATGAATGAATGAATGGATGAATGGGTAGAGGGAAGGAAGAAATAAAAGTGAAAAGAAGGATAGCCCATCAAGCTTGGTCAGGCCATGAAGCAACTGGCAAAGATTCCTGAATGCTCCTTCATTGCTGCGGGAGCCATTCTTGTAAAGGCTGACGGAGTTCTTCTCTTATATCCAACAGAACTGAGACGATTATTTTGACTTTCTTTCATATACTTTAGACAGATATAGAGTGAGATAGCAAGAGGGGAGAGGGGAAGGGAGAGATGGTAGGTAGGTAGGTAGGTAGGTAGGTAGGGAGAGAGAGAGAGAGAAAGAGATGTAGATAGAGAGATGGATGGATGGATGAATAGCTAGATAGATGAGAGGGGGAGATGATGGATGGATGGATGGATGGATGGATGGATGGATGGATGGATGGATGGACGGACAGACAGACAGACAGACAGACAGACGGATGGATGGATGGACGGATGGACAGACGGACGGACGAATGGATGGATGGATGAGAGAGGTGGATGGATGGATGGATAAATAGATGAGAGTGAGGGATGGGCAGATGGATGGATGGATGGATGGATAGATAGATAGATAGATAGATAGATAGATAGATAGATAGATAGATAGATAGATAGATAGATAGATAGATAGATGAGAGAGAGTGGTGGATGGATGGATGGATGGATAGATAGAGATGGATACATAGATAGATAGGAGGGAGGGAGGGAGGGAGAGAGAGAAAGAGAGAGAACTGTGAATAGGAATAAAAGAAAGCAACTTGCTCCCCTTCTCTTATTTCAACAAGCAATTGAAGAAAACATTTTTTTGCATATAGCCATTATATAAACATTTTACTGCACAACAATCCAATTTAAAACACTCCTAACTGGCACTATCCATAGGCAATTTGCTTCTAGTCTCACACTAGAATCAAAAGGTATTGGAAATTTAAATTGTTTTGCATTTTCATTCAAAATGTCAAGAAGTATGTGTGTGTGGGGGGGGGGTGTTGATATGTGTGTGTACATATATATACATATTACACCCCATATTATTCCGTCTTGAGCTCATTCATTCG